TGGCCACCTCATGAGAAGAGAAGACTCCCTGGAAAAGAGACTGATGTTGGGAAAGATGGAGGGCACAAGGAGAAGGGGACGAGAGAGGACGAGATGTTTGGATAGTGTTCTCGAAGCTACCAGCGTGAATTTGACCAAACTGGGGGAGGCAGTGGAAGACAGGAGGGCCTGGCGTGCTCTGGTCCAGGGGGTCAGGAAGAGGCGGACACCACTAAATGACGGGGTTGTTTTTGCAATCCGGGAGTGTATAAATTTTATGAAACACAAATAATAAATCAGGTGAGCTTGGGCCATTCCCTGCCTCTCAAGCCAGCCTACCTCACAGGGTTGTTGTGGGGGGGGAGATTAAATGAGGAGGGGGAGAACCGAACCCGCCACTTTCAGCTCCTTGGAGGAAGAAAAAGGTGGAATATCAGCCATAAATAAAATACATGCATGCATAATTTTATTTGTCCTTTCCATAGTTCGAACCATGAAAAAGTTACATGAAATAAAACTTTATTAGAAAAGTTGCCGTAAACAATAAATAAAACATAAAAAGACACACAAGCAAACTGAGCAATTTCCACATAAATCATAATAAGATATAAAGATTCTGTGTTTCAAAAGCATTTAAAAATAATCCAAACATCCCCAAGCGTTGCAGCGACAACCTCAAAGCTTCCCTGTTGCTTAATCAGTGTGATGAGCTAATAAAAAGGCTTTGATTGCAGATTAAAAATAGAGCCCTTCTTAATTAAAACGAGTCACCTGCGTTCCCCCCCCCATCGTGTCCACGGGAGGCTTTTGAACACCCCACCACCGCCTCCTGATTAATTTTTGAAACAAGAAGAGAAATCTTAATTGGAAGAGTTATAGAATCATAAATCGATGTTCAGTCGGAACCTCCGTCCCTGTAACTTGAAGCCACGGGTTCGAGTCCTGCCCTCCAGAGCAGGAAAAAACAACAAGCTTGCTGTTTCCTCCATTCCACCTTCAAATATCCAAAGGGTTGTCAGTTAACACAGGGAAGATGGGAGCAAGCTTGTTTTCGGCTACTCCAGACACCTGGTGGAGGTTTTTAAAGAGAGGTCAGGCAGCCATCTGCCAGAAATTCATATCTACAGTGCTATGACCCTGAAGGGGGCAAGACTCTTAGACTGGGGAACAAAAATTTTGTTGCATTGACACCTGCAGTTGTTCCAACCTAATTTCGACGTGCTGATTTCATATCTGAAGTTGGTTTTGTTCTGTAAGCTCTTGGGGTTTTTTTTGCAGTTCATGTTTTTCACTTTTCACCACAATCTTTGTTTTTCCCAATGCAAGAATTCAATATTTTATTCAACACATAGCCAAAGTAGTACAATATGAGTATAAATGTAAGTGACTTATATAGCACTGAACATGACATGTATGGCATTGAAAATAACATGTATATCTAAGTACAGTTGGAGGTATGCAAAAAAAATGTATTCCCTTGGGATACACAGTATTTGTTGTTGTTGTTTAGTCATTTAGTCGTGTCCGACTCTTCGTGACCCCCTGGACCAGAGCACTCCAGGCCCTCCTGTCTTCCACTGCCTCCCGCAGTTTGGTCAAACTCATGCTGGTAGCTTCGAGAACACTGTCCCACCATCTCGTCCTCTGTCGTCCCCTTCTCCTTGTGCCCTCCATCTTTCCCAACATCAGGGTCTTTTCCAGGGGAGTCATCTCTTCTCATGAGGTGGCCAAAGTCTTGGAGCCTCAGCTTCAGGATCTGTCCTTCCAGTGAGCACTCAGGGCTGATTTCCTTCAGAATGGAGAGGTTGGATCTTCTTGCAGTCCATGGGACTCTCAAGAGTCTCCTCCAGCCCCAGAATTCAAAAGCATCCATTCTTCGGCCATCAGCCTTCTTGATGGTCCAGCTCTCACTTCCATACATCACTACTGGGGAAACCGTAGCTTTAACTATACGGACCTTTGTCGACAAGGTGATGTCTCTGCTTTTTAAGATGCTGTCTAGGTTTGTCATTGCCCTTCTCCCTAGAAGCAGGCGTCTTTTAATTTCGTGACTGCTGTCACCATCTGTAGTGATCATGGAGCCCAAGAAAGTAAAATCTCTCACTGCCTCCATTTCTTCCCCTTCTATTTGCCAGGAGGTGATGGGACCAGTGGCCGTGATCTTCGTTTTTTTGATACTGAGCTTCAGACCATACTGAGGAACAAAAAAATTGTCATTTTCTTTTGCATGAGATTTTCCAACTGTTCTTATATGTTCTTTCAATGCTGATTTCAAATCTGAAATTGATTTTTGTGTACATGCTATAGTTATCTTTCAGATTCTGACTTTTGCCGATATGTCATATTTACACTGGGGATAAGTGGACACGGACACGTTGATCTACCCTAACCACATGGTAATTATTGTTTTGCAATGATTCTTCAACATCAACTTCACTGGACTGGTCATGTTGTGTGGAAGCTGGATGATCGTCTTCCAAAGCAACTCCTCTATTCCGAACTTAGAAATGGAAAGCGTAATGCTGGTGGTCAACAAGAGGTTTAAAGTCTGTCTCAAGGCAAATCTTTAAAAATGGAGTATGAACACCGACAACTGGGAAACCCTGGCCTGCGAGCGCTCCAGTTGGAGAACAGCCTTTACCAAAGGTGTCATGGACTTTGAAGACACTCGAACTCAGAACGCAAGGGAGAAATGTGCTAAGAGGAAGGCTGTTAGTATTCCTGTTCCGTGATCGCAGTCATGGGGTTGTTGTCTTTCACATATGTTTTGACTCCACAGATTGGGAAGTGACGGAGACAAGATGTTTGTGTTCCTGTGTTCCGTGAAGTGGGACTATTGTCCTTTGTTCTTTTTCTCTTTGCTGTCTGATGCTAGAGAGAGGGAGCCATGTTGCAGTGCTCCGTGTGTGTTTATATGTAAATAGAGCAAAGGTAAAGGTAAAGGGACCCCTGACCATTAGGTCCAGTTGTGGCCGACTCTGGGGTTGCGGCGCTCATCTTGCTTTACTGGCCGATGGAGCCGGCGTACAGCTTCCGGGTCATGTGGCCAGCAGGACTAAGCCGCTTCTGGCGAACCAGAGCAGCGCACGGAAACGCCCTTTACCTTCCCGCCAGAGCGGTGCCTATTGATCTACTTGCACTTTGACATGCTTTCGAACTGCTAGGTTGGCAGGAGCAGGGACCGAGCAATGGGAGCTCACCCCATCATTGCGGGGATTCGAACCACCGACCTTCTGATCAGCAAGTCCTAGGCTCTGTGGTTTAACCCACAGCGCCACCCGTGTCCCATAAAAAAAGTAGCTTAGCCAAAATGCTGAGTTGCTGAGGTCTGTCACGCGAACTGCGAAGACTCTGCGGATCCCTAAGTGTGCTGATGTCTGTTGGCATCGGTCGCTGTGATGTTCGGGCTGAAGAAAGCTTTTGAAGCTCCCGAACGATCGGCCAGGAGGGAGAGAACATGCCAGTCGGGCATGTGTCTCTACCAGGGTCCTACCCGAGTGTAGGATGAGCTCCTAACAAATCCACACCGTGATCAACTCCTGCCTGGGAACCAATGTCCCCAGTGTGGAAGGACGTGTGGGTCCAGAATTGGCCTCCACAGTCACTTACGGACTCACTGTTAAAACCGTGTTTATGGAAGACAATCTTACTCGGCTACAAGGGATCGCAGAAGAAGAAGAAGAAGAAGAAGAAGAAGAGGAGGAGGAGGAGGAGGAGGAGGAGGAGGAGGAAGAAGAAGAGGAGGGTTTGGCTAGATGCGACAGGAACCCAGAAAACCACACTGGTTTGCATCTGAGAAAGTGCAGGGGAAAAAACCCCAGGGGTTTTCAAATTGGTAAATTGAGCATTTAATTGGCGGAGGCAACCCTAATTAATTGGGGCCTGTTATGTAACGCATTGACGGCAAAGCATCTCAGTGGCACCCCCCCTTTCCACCCGCCATGCGCTAGCAAGGCTCACAGCACCTCTTTCTCTCCACCAGCCGCCGGGTGCCAGTCCATAAGCGCTTGGCTGTTTCCCAGAGCCCACGCACCAAACGCCGGCTGGGGTTGCGCAGCGGTGCTTCAGATGAGCTCTGAACGGTTTGCAAAACACGGGCGGCGAAGGAGCCCGAGAGCATGAACATGAGCCCCAGAAAAAGCCGAGCTCAGGCAAGCAGCCCTTTGCACATGCTCAGACACACCCTTTGCACATTCCGGAACTCGCCTTTGCTGGGCAGCCGTTGGCAGGCTGGCATCCTCAGGGCGTTTTTGTTTTTGTCATTACAAAAGACTGGCCAGGTTCCCCAGGGTATCCAATCAAGTGACCATTAACAGGTAACCTGCCAGACAGGAGATAAACAATGCGCTCAGATTTCTGCTGTAGACCGCCTCTTCTGTGATGTAGGTATGATGTTTCTGAGGGTGGTCTTGGACTCCAGGGCGAGCAATTTAAAATGTCTATATAAGGGCGGGCACACCTGGGTTTGGGTCCTTCTCCTTTCCTGCGGGTGAGGGGAGCACCCTGTTGCAACAGATCAATAAAGATCAGGCTTACAAGATGCTTTGCTTCTCAATATTCTCTGGTTGGCCTCTGTAATTTTCTCCGACCCATGGAGAACCTGCAAAGGACTCTATAACGGTTCTTGTGTCCCCCATAAGCGAATAAGGGCAGATTTCCGTTTATTACAGTGTCATCTGCAAATTTGACAAGCATCCCCTCAACTCCTTCGTCCAAGTCATTTATAAAGACGTTGAACAACAACAGGCCCTTCAGCCTATATTTGTGCACCTGGTTCTTCCAGAATAGGAGAAGAGGTTGCTGGATCAGGCCTATCTTGGCCAGCATCCTGTTCTCATGGGGACGGGGGGGGGGGCGGACAACCAGATGCCCGTGGAAAACCAGTGAGCAGGATCCGACCTCAAGAACCCTCTCAGAGCATTGACATATTGGCTAGTAGCCATCACCCTCTCCTCCTCCATGAATTTGTCCCATCCTCTTTTAAAGCTGTCCTCCTGTGGCAGGGAGTTCCACAGGTTAACGCGCAAATAATTATTTCAAAAACCAGGCAAATTCAAGGCAGGGTTCGGTTTTATGACACAACATTTGCAACAAAGGCAATCAAATAAATTCCCCCTGCCCAACCCAATATGCTTCAATCTGGAACTCGTTAAATCGGACGATAATTTAATGGATTGGGCGTTTTAAACACAAACAGTTTGCTTTTTTTAAAAAGACCCCTGCTCTCTGATTTCCTTACCCACTGCCTGTGGAGCTTTTAAATCAGCCTAGAAGTGCCTTTGTGGCTGATTGAACTAGAATATAAATAAATCTACATTTCATAACATGGGATAATTTTGCACCTCGGGAGTTATAGCAGCGGAGAGGGGGGAATTATCGGCGCTTTCTAGTGTTCCTGTTTGCATCAGAATATGTGCTTTTTTTTCTATATATAACTGAATAAAAATGGGGGGGGTTTTGGAATTACATGCGGATCTGTGCATTTTTTTAAAAAGTGCAGTTATTTTGCACATGTGCTTATGGGAGGCAGCCACAGCCAAGACCTCTGTGTCCTGAACATTGCTTGCACGATGTTGGGTGTCGCCAGCATCGCTTCTCTGAGCTCGTGCCTCACGTATTTTGACTCCCATACAACGCCCCCCCCCTTCATGTGCAAAGGAGGAGATTATGGAGGGGCCTGCAAGCATTTTGCTCCCCTTTCCTATACCGGCCCCTCCTCTTCTCTCGTGTTCGCGCGGAGCCAAAACCTGCCAAAGAGGAAAGGAAAATATTCATCATCGGGGAAACCGGTTTGCACAGACTCCCTCCCCCCCCTTCTCTTTTCGTTTCTTTGCAGAGTGATTCATTCAGAAACTATGCCGGGTGCGTGTGGTGTTGTGACGCTTCTGGTGTCGCGAAACAGGTGTGGAAAAAACACACACACACACACACACATGGTTGCATCCAGAGACACTGGCTGGGAGATTCAGGGCAGAGAAAAGGAAGGATGTTTTCACATGGCACACGGTTAGACTGCGGAACTCCCTGCCACAGCAGGGAGTTGCTATTTACCGTATTTTTCGCTCTATAAGACGCACCAGACCACAAGACGCACCTAGTTTTTGGAGGAGGAAAGCAAGAAAAAAAAAATTCTGAATCTCAGAAGCCAGAACAGCAAGAGGGATCGCTGCGCAGTGAAAGCAGCAATCCCTCTTGCTGTTCTGGCTTCTGGGATAGCTGTGCAGCCTGCATTCACTCCATAAGACGCACACACATTTCCCCTTACTTTTTAGGACGGAAAAGTGAGTCTTATAGAGCAAAAAATACGGTATTTTGCCTCGAACTGCAGAGCGCAGTGAATTTGCCCTCTCCCCTTTTCAAAGCCATCCAGGCTGTGGCAGGCAGTTCTGCAGTCTAACTATGTGCCGTGTGAAGACATCCTTTATTTATTTTGCATTGTGTTTATTGCTTTCATTTTATGGATCGGCGGTCTCGTTAGAGAGTAAAATTCATGTTCAATTACTGTTTTTTAAGGGGTTGCTTTTAAAAGTCTGGAACGGATTAATCTGTTTTGCATTACTTTCTATGGGAAATGGTGCCTCGGTTTTGGAACGCGCTTTGGTTTTGGAACGGACTTCAGGAACGGATCAAGTTTGAGAACCAAGGCACCACTGCACTGTCCATTATCCCATTAATTGATGTTCTCTTATCAGCAATGCCCCTCCCCCTTTGCCCCCTCCATCCTCCTCCATGGGGTGCCCCACTTACTCGAGAGCACAAGAGACGATGCCCAGGAAAAGGCAGGACCCAGAGATGGAGCAGATTAACCGGGTGATTTTTTCCAGACCTCCGCCCTCTGTGGGGCGAAAGAGAGGGAGAGAAATGGGTAGGGGAGGAAGGTGTGCTTGGAAGAGACCAGGAAGGTCTTGGGTGGCTCCCAAAATAATAATAATAATAATAATAATAATAATAATAATAATAATAATAATGTGATAAAACATCAAACACTAAAAGCTTCCATAAACAGGGCTGCCTTCAGGTGTCTTCTAAAAGTCAGCTAGTTCTTTATTTCCTTGACATCTGGTGGGAGGGAGTTCCACAGGGCAGGCGCCACCACCGAGAAGGCCCTGTGCCCGGTTCTAAGGGGAAGCGGGATATACAGGGATCAAACCAGAAACCGGGATGGCGTCTGTCAATCCAGGGCTGTCCCTGGAAAACTGGCAAGTAGGGTGGACCCTGGAAAATAAAAGGGGAGGGAGGGAGGGGGCCAGGACTGGCCAAGGAGGGTGTTCTGTTGGGAACCGCCCAGAGTGGCCAGGGAAACCCAGCCAGACTGGCGGGGTATAAATATTATTATTATTATTATTATTATAGCAAAGGAGAAGCCCCTCACCTGGATAACAGGTCTTCATTTCCCAGCAGCGCACCTCCACTCTCCGGCAAGTGGTACAGTTCCACACCAAGGCTGATCCCTCTGGAAATGGGGGTCAGGAGGGAAGGGGGGTCAGGTGAGGGTCCGGGGCAGAGGCCTTAGAACCCCCCACCTTCTCTGACTGAGGGGAAGGACCATAGCTGTCAACCGTCCCTTCTTTGGTGGGAAAGTCCCTTATCCCAGCGCCGTGTCCCGCTGCTGTCCCTTATTGATGATGTCCCTTAAATTTCCCGGGTTTCAAAGGAAGCAGCTCCTCTCCCTCCCTCCCTGCCGGCCAGGGAGGAGGGAGGCTCCAACTCTGTTGCTTGGCTGCGTTGCTCACCCAATAAGGAGTCTGAGAACGACTGGGGGTGGAGCTTGCATGCCTTGTGCCAATCAAATCGGCCGCGTTGCCTGGGGACTCACCTTTGCTCAGCGCTTCCCAGCAGAGAGGGGACGGTGGTTTTCCTTGCTGCATCCCCTTTGCTGGGTTGCTGCGCTGTGGGAACCACCGCTTCGTTTGGCTTATTTTCCCTTATTTTCAAATCTGTAAGTTGACAGCTATGGACCGAACCCAGGCCTCCTGTTCCCTGTGCAAAGCAAAAGGAGCTTGTGGGAAGCGCTGAGCAAAGGCGGGTCCCCAGGCAACGCGGCCGATTTGATTGGCACAAGGCATGCAAGCTCCACCCCCCTACAGTGGTTCCTTGGTTCTCAAATGTCTTCGTACTCAAACAAGTTGGAACCCAAACGCTGCAAGCCGGGAAGTAAGTGTTGCGGTTTGTGAACTTTTTTCGGAAGCCGAACGTGCTCTGTTTTGAGTGTTACGCTGAGGTCTGTCTGTTTGCTATTTATTTTGCTTTTTTGTTTTTCATAGAATCATAGAGTTGGAATAGACCACAAGGGCCATCGAGTCCAACCCCCTGCCAAGCAGGAAACACCATCAGAGCACTCCTGACATATGGTTGTCAAGCCTCTGCTTAAAGACCTCCAAAGAAGGAGACTCCACTACACTCCTTGGCTCAAATTCCACTGTCGAACAGCTCTTACTGTCAGGAAGTTCTTCCTAATGTTTAGGTGGAATCTTCTTTCTTGTAGTTTGGATCCATTGCTCCGTGTCCGCTTCTCTGGAGCAGCAGAAAACAACCTTTCTCCCTCCTCTATGTGACATCCTTTTATATATTTGGACATGGCTATCATATCACCCCTTAACCTCCTCTTCTCCAGGCTAAACATGCCCAGCTCCCTTAGCCGTTCCTCATAAGGCATCGTTTCCAGGCCTTTGACCATTTTGGTTGCCCTCCTCTGGACACGTTCCAGTTTGTCAGTGTCCTTCTTGAACTGTGGTGCCCAGAACTGGACACAGTACTCCAGGTGAGGTCTGACCAGAGCAGAATACAGTGGCACTATTACTTCCCTTGATCTAGATGCTATACTCCTATTGATGCAGCCCAGAATTGCATTGGCTTTTTTTTGGCGTCTTTTTGTTTTGCTTTTGTGACTGTGTGGAGTACATTTTTTTATTGCTTTCATTTTATGGATCAATGGTCCCGTCAGACAGTAAAATTCATGTTAAATTGCTGTTTTAGGGGTTGTTTTATAAAGTCAGGAACTGATTAATCCATTTTTCATTACTTTCTATGGGAAAGCGCGCCTCGGTTTTGGAACGCTTTGGTTTTGGAACGGACTTCTGGAACGGATTAAGTTTGAGAACCAAGGTGACCACTGTAGTTGCTTAAAGACCGAAGGCACAATTATTATTATTATTATTAGCTGTTATTATTAATGTTAATCTTGACCCCATGCACGGGCTAGAGTGATATTTCCACATTAAAATTCTTTTAAGCAATGTGGACATCTGTCAGGGATGTTTTAGCTGAGATTCCTGAATTTCAGGGGGTTGGAATAGATGACCCCTTGGTCCCTTCCAACTCTACAATTCTATGGATGTAGCCTGGGGTGTGTAGGCGGGCAATGTAATAATTATTTTTTTATTATTATTATTATTATTATTATTATTATTATTATTATTATTATTATTATTTATACCCCACCCTTCCCGGTTCAAAAACCAGAACGGCTAACAACAAATTTAAAACACTTTAAAACACTTAATTATTAAAGCAGCATAAAATACAGTATAAAAACATGAATAACAATAAAAAATCAGTTAGATAGTCCCCAGGGCTAGCTGGCTGAATTGGTCCTATTTGGGCCAGCGAGGAGGCCAGGGGAGAATTAGCTGTGGGGTCTCAGAGCGGGTAATCTTCATAAAAGGGGAGGGGGAGGGAAGACAAGGGGAATAAAAGATCAGGCTGAATTCAAATTAAAGGCCAGGCAGAATAGCTCTGTCTCACAGGCCCTGCAGAAGGAAGTTAAATCCTGCAGGGCCCTGGTCTCCTGGGACAGAGCATTCCACCAGGTGAGAGCCATCACTGAGAAGGGATGTAATAAGGGAGGGGGTGTTTCCCCATCTTTTATAAAGGTGGGGCTCTTGATCCCAGTATTTCTCGTTCTGCCATCCCATCCCCGGAACTTACGGCAAGCCGGAGGGCACAGCGCTGGAAGAGAAAAGAGAAAAGAGGTTTATTGCAAGACGCTCAGTCATCTAGCAAGCTAGTTTTCCCAGCCTTCTATCAGGGACTGGGGCTGGTCCCTGCCTTGGGAATTGTGAGGCATAGCTGTCAGCTTACAGATTTGAAAATAAGGGACCAGCAGCCTCGAAAATAAGGGATCAGCAGCCAAAATAAGGGATTTTCCGGGCACAGGTATGTTCAGCTTCTGAGCCAAAGGCAGAAAGCCCAGCCAGCAGCCAAACGAAGCCTCAAGCGGTGGTTCCCACAGCGCAGCAACCTGGCAAAGGGGATGCAGCAAGGAAAACCACCGTCCCCTCTCCGCTGGGAAGCGCTGAGCAAAGGCGAGTCCCCAGGCAAGGCGGCCGATTTGATTAGCACAAGCTCCACCCCCCCCAGTCGTTCTCAGACTCCTTATTGGGTGAGCAACGCAGCCAAGCAACACAGCTGGAGCCTCCCTCCTCCCTGGCTGGCAGGGAGGGAGGGAGAGGAGCTGCTTCCTTTGAAACCCGGGAAATTTAAGGGACATCATCAATAAGGGACAGCAGCGGGACATGGCACTGGGATAAGGGAGTATCCCGCCAAATAAGGGACGGTTGACAGCTATGTTGTGAGGTCAGGATAGGACCCTGGAGGTTTCTGGAGCAAAGGTTGCTTTTCAACCTGTGGAGTGCTGTTTCTAGTCACCCACACGCCTGATTCAGATCATTTCTCCTTTGCCCGAGGGGGCAAATTTTGAGAGGAAAAATTACCCTCTTGTCCCAGATGAGTGAGATTATGATTCATTCATTTATTCATTTCATAAAATCTACACACCACTTTTTAAAAAAATGCCCTCAAAGCAGGTTGCAAAGAGAACAAAACAATGAAATTATCAGTGAAAACGTTTTTTTAAAAACCAACCGAAAAACCGGCAATAAACTAAAGAGCAGATTGAAACATACACCCATGTTCTACATGTCTGAGCAGGCTTGTCTAAGCTACAGTGGTTTTAGCAGGGGCCTGGTGTCAAGTGGCAGGGAGTTCCAAAGGTGTTGGCGCTGCCACAACAAAAGATCCGGTTCCTAGCAAGGCAGAACAGGTAGCGTGTGGAAACAGCGAAAGTTCTGCCAATCAAAGCGGTCAAGTGGGGCGTTTATGGGGCGAAGCGATCTCACAGGTGAACCCGGTCCCAGGTTGTTAAGGGCTTTATATAACTGAGAGCAACACCCCGTAGCAAATCGGCAAATCTCTGAGCAGAGGTGCAATATGGCGACAAAGCCTCCCTCCTTTCAGCAATTGGGCTGCAGCAGTGGCGTGTGGTGAGGTTTTTCATAGGGGAACGGTTAGGGGCTAGATTGAGTGGGGCATTGGGGGGGGTCGATGTCATGCGTGTGATATTGTGACGTCCTGGTGTCGCGCACGCGAGCATAAGTGAAACCCCACATTTAAGGTGCTGGTTTTGACCTTTGAAGCCCTATGTGGCCTAGGACCCATGTACCTATAGGACCGCCTCTCCTGGTACGCCCCATGGAGAGGTCCCCAAATGACAACACCTTGGAGGTCCCAGGTCGCAAGGTGGTTAGATTGGTCTCAACAAGGACCAGGGCCTTTTCAGCACTGGCCCCGACTTGGTGGAACGCTCTGTCCCAAGAGACCAGGGCCCTGCGGGACTTGACATCTTTCCGCAGGGCCTCCAAGACAGAGCTGTTCCGCCTGGCCTTCAGCTTAGACTCTGACGATCCCTTATATGGGATTTGGTATATAAATTTTCCCCTGGCTTTTTTGCTGACCCATGTAGGACCAGCATGGATAGCTGGCTCAGGTGAATATCTGATGTTTCCTCCCTTTATGGTCTTGATTTATGGGCTACTACTAAAAGGAGGCTGCATTTTAAGCCGTATTTTAATTAACTGTTTGGTGGTTGTTGTTGTTTTTCTATTACGTTTCATTGCAATTCGTATTTGCTGCTAGCCGCTGTGAGCCCTGCCCTGCCGGCGAGGGAGGGGTATAAATAAACATTTATTTACTTATTCTTTATGCGTGTGATATTTGGACGTCCTGATGTCGCGCACGTGAGCATAAGCGAAACCCCACGTTTGAGGGAAAACACACTTTGCACATGCCCAGAAACATCCTCTGTTTTTCCAGCACGTTCTGTGACTGAGATGTATGTAAACAATTTCAGGGCCGGTCCCAATACAGACTGGGTTTCAGACTGAACATCCTTTCTCATACCTTCTCTGCTCTGCTCTGGTATCTTAACTTCATGGAGCCAGTTCCAAAACTTTGGGAAGTCAGCGAGGCTCTGGTTTATTTCTGGTGGGGAGAAGGGACGAGAGGATTATTATCCCACTGCTACCACCAATAGCAGCTTCTCTAAAGGTAAAGTGGGTGACACCTGGCTTGAGAGCAGTACATGTGAAAAGGATCTAGGAGTCTTGGTTGACCACAAACTTGACATGAGCCAACAGTGTGACGCGACAGCTAAAAAAGCCAATGCAATTCTGGGCTGCATCAATAGGAGTATAGCATCTAGATCAAGGGAAGTAATAGTGCCACTGTATTCTGCTCTGGTCAGACCTCACCTGGAGTACTGTGTCCAGTTCTGGGCACCACAGTTCAAGAAGGACACTGACAAACTGGAACGTGTCCAGAGGAGGGCAACCAAAATGGTCAAAGGCCTGGAAACGATGCCTTATGAGGAACAGCTAAGGGAGCTGGGCATGTTTAGCCTGGAGAAGAGGAGGTTAAGGGGTGATATGATGGCCATGTTCAAATATATAAAAGGATGTCACATAGAGGAGGGAGAAAGGTTGTTTTCTGCTGTTCCAGAGAAGCGGACACGGAGCAGTGGATCCAAACTACAAGAAAGAAGATTCCACCTAAACATGAGGAAGAACTTCCTGACAGTAAGAGCTGTTTGACAGTGGAATTTGCTGCCAAGGAGTGTGGTGGAGTCTCCTTCTTTGGAGGTCTTTAAGCAGAGGCTTGACAACCATATGTCAGGAGTGCTCTGATGGTGTTTCCTGCTTGGCAGGGGGTTGGACTCGATGGCCCTTGTGGTCTAGTCCAACTCTCGGATTCTATGATTCTATGAAAAGTAAAGGGACCCTGACCATTAGGTCCAGTCATGACCGACTCTGGGGTTGCAGCGCTCATCTCGCTTTACTGGCCAAGGGAGCCGGCGTACAGCTTCCGGGTCATGTGGCCAGCATGACTAAGCCGCTTCTGGCGAACCAGAGCAGCGCACGGAAATGCCGTTTACCTTCCCGCCGGAGCGGTACCTATTTATCTACTTGCACTGGTGTGCTTTCGAACTGCTTAGTTCCAGTATAATGGAAGTAAGCAAGGAAGGGTTTTTTTTGGGGGGGGGGGAACGACAGATCCTTTTAAGCTATTGGATTTTAACTACACCTCTCAGCAGTGAGAGTCAAAAGCCAAGTTACATGTTGACTGAAGAAACAGCTGGGTTTCCCCGATCACCCAGTGGAAAGGAGTGGAATTTGATTCCATTCTCATTTAAAGGCAAATCTTACAGATTTGAACTTTCCAAAGCAATACACTAACCAGCACACAGCCCTCTTTCAAAATTTGCATTGTTTCTGCAATGTATAAGCTTTGAGGTAAAGGTAAAGGGTCACCTGACCATTAAGTCCAGTCGTGGACGACTCTAGGATTGCAGCGCTCATCTCGCTTTATTGGCCGAGGGAGCCGGCGTACAGCTTCCGGGTCATGTGGCCAGCAGGACAAAGCCGCTTCTGGCGAACCAGAGCAGCGCACGGAAACGCCGTTTACCTTCCCGCCGGAGCGGTACCTATTTATCTACTTGCACTTTGACGTGCTTTCGAACTGCTAGGTTGGCAGGAGCAGGGACCGAGCAATGGGAGCTCACCCCGTCGCGGGGATTCGAACCGCCAACCTTCTGATCAGCAAGCCCTAGGCTCTGTGGTTTAACCCACAGCGCCACTGCTACCACCAACAGCAGCTTCTCTAGACTGATGCAAAAGCAAGAGTTTTCACACACACCAGCCTTCCTTCATTTTACGCCCATTGTCCCAAGGGAGCGCCACCTTCTGAAATCTGCACAGTCCAAACTGCTCCTTACCTATAACCCGGAAGACTCGGTGCGTTTTTTCCAGCAACAGATCCAAGGACATGTCATCTGCAGGTGGGAGGGCAGAAAGGGGAGCCTTGCATGAGCCACTGTGGTCTGCAACACCTGTCACCCCCAACCTGTCACCCTCCAGAGTGGCGCATGTTCTGGCTATCTCCCGCTTCGACTACTGCAATGCGCTCTGCGTGGGGCTACCTTTGAAGGTGACCCAGAAACTACAACTAATCCAGAATGCGGCAGCTAGACTGGGGACTGGGAGTGGCCACCGGGACCACATAACACCAGTCCTGAAAGACCTACATTGGCTCCCGGTACGTTTCTGAGCACAATTCAAAGTGTTGGTGCTGACCTTGAAAGCCCTAAACGGCCTCAAAGGCCCAGTAGACCTGAAGAAGTGTCTCCACCCCCATCGTTCAGCCCAGACACTGAGGTCCAGCTCCGAGGAATAACGAGCTTACGAAAGTATTTCAGTGAAAACGCAAACTCTCTGAAGAACTGTGGTGATATCTTCCCCTTAGTTTGTCTAATTTTAAAAAGCTATGTCTACTTCTTGTGGGATTGAGTTCCACAGGTCAGCTATGAAGGGAGAAGCACATTTGTTTGTCCCAAACCACCCGGCATTATATACGAGTGATTGTGTGCATGTAGAAACCTCTTGGCTTTTGCCTGACTGGAATGCAGACCAACTAGAAATTCATATTATTATTATTATTATTATTATTATTATTATTATTATTATCTCTTCCTCTGCCCCCTTTCCCCCCTCTGGCCCCACCCACCACCAGCATGTGGACACCTGCCCCCCAAAGAGATAACCCACAGGGAAATATAGGGGGAGTCCCACCCCTGTTGTCACCCATAAGAATATATTGTTATTATTACTGCTAATACTATTGATCTGAGTGACTATGCTAATAGGATGCATACAGAAATAATAACAGTGATGTTCCACGATGCAGACAGAAATACTAACAGCAACGTTCCATCAGTGTGTACAGAAATAATAACAGTGATGTTCTAATCGTTGCTGTTAATTACTTGTTAATAATAAAACCTAGACAGCATCTTAAAAAGCACCTTGCCAACAAAGGTCCGTATAGTAAAAGCTCTGGTTTTCCCTGTAGTGATGTATGGAAGTGAGAGCTGGACCATCAAGAAGGCTGATGGCCGAAGAATGGATGCTTTTGAATTCTGGTGCTGGAGGAGACTCTGGAGAGTCCCATGGACTGCAAGAAGATCAAACCTATCCATTCTGAAGGAAATCAGCCCTGAGTGCTCACTGGAAGGGCAGATCCTGAAGCTGAGGCTCCAAGACTTTGGCCTCCTCATGAGAAGAGAAGACTCCCTGGAAAAGACCCTGATGTTGGGAAAGATGGAGGGCACAAGGAGAAGGGGACGACAGAGGACGAGATGGTGGGACAGTGTTCTCGAAGCTACCAGCATGAGTTTGACCAAACTGCGGGAGGCAGTGGAAAACAGGAGGGCCTGGCGTGCTCTGGTCCAGGGGGTCACGAAGAGGCGGACACGATTAAACGACTACAACAACAATAATAAAACCTGTCCCTTTTCCAGACATCCCCAAAGAGCCCCGGATTCTCTACCTAAGGCCAAGCCCAGGGAGGACTCTCTGCCCCAGGGATAACCGGTACAGTTTGCCTGGCTGTAACGCTCTCGGTATTGGGCGCAGAGGTGGGCAAAGCGGGTCTTCAGGTTCTTGGAATAGAGTCCGCAGTGGATGCACCCCTCCGTCCCGGGGCTCTCGCTGGCGAGGATGAGGAGCAGGAGAGCCAGAGTCGCGGGCGACCGAGAGCCCGGTCCCAGAGCCCTCGGAGCGGAGAACGCTTTGGAAAGAGCCATTGGTATGCCCACCAGGCAGAACACATTCCAGAACCCTTTTGGTTCTTTGGGTCGGGGTTCTAGGCTGCTGCCAGGGCAACCGGTTCCAGAGTCCCGGGGGCGGGGGTTCTGTTCATAAAGGGACAACTCTGGCCTCGGTCCAGTATATCTGAAGGAGCGTCTCCACCCCCATCATTCTGCCCAGACACTGAGGTCCAGTTCCGAGGGCCTTCTGGTGGTTCCCTCCCTGTAAGAAGCGAGGTCACAGGGAACCAGGCACAGAGCCTTCTCGGTGGTGGCGCCCGCCCTGTGGAACGCCCTCCCAGCAGATGTCAAGGCAAAAACCAGTTCTGGCATCTGGCTCAAGTGCAACCCTATAAAGGAGTATGTCTGTTTGCAGCAATCCATCAAAGGTTCTGTGTCTAAGATTTCAGATTAAAACTGCAGAGTGGAAGGAAAGGAGGACCTTTTCCTGCCTCCCCACTTCCAGCTACTCTCTGAAGAATGGATAAGAGACCCTCTTAAGAATATTAGGGGGGTGAGCAGGGGAAGGACTAGAAGATGTGAAAAATGAACATACAGTGGTCCCTTGGTTCTCAAGCACCATGGTACTCAAACAACTTGGAACCTAAAAACTGCAAACCCGGAAGTGTGTATTTCGGTTTGTGACCTTTTTTAAGAAGCTGAATGTGCCCCTTTTGAGTGCCACACTTCCATTTTGAGTATCACACCGAGGTCTGTCTGTTTTTGCTATTTATTTTGCGTTTTTGCGGCTCTTTTTTGTTTTGTGACTGTGTGGAAACCCAGTTCAGCTACTGATGGATGGCTTGTGTGACTGCAGCACGTTGTGTTTATTGCTTCCATTTTATGGATCGATGGTCTCGTTAGAGATTAAAATTCATGTTCAATTGCTGTTTTTTAAGGGGTTGTTTTTAAAAGTCTGGAACGGATTAACGTGTTTTGCATTGCTTTCTATGGGAAAGCGTGCCTTGGTTTTGGAACGCTTTGGTTTTGGAGCGGACTTGCGGAACGGATTAAGTTCGAGAACCGAGGTCCCACTATAATACTTTAGCTGCAGTTCATTCATTTTCAGCTTCGCAATCTTATTAAAAAAGTGCGCCTGGACATTCCATTGTTGTGCCCTTGAGCTCCTAGCTTTCATATCTCAGTTTCTAACGCTGCATGACAGAGAGTGAGAACATGTGCTTGTGAGAGCCTCTTCATTCCCGCGCTGCGTCAAGATTCAGAAGACAAGCATTTCACGGAGAGCGACAGAGCCTCCTGCCCCATCCCGAGGCTCCAAATCCCGTGCTTCCAAACCCCCAAGTCACCGGCTCTTAGGCCATGTGGCTAGCCAAGAAGAGAGTACCTCTGCGCATGTGCGGAGGGCATTCCCCGCCACCACCTCCAGCTTAGAAAACAGAGCCAGCCCAGGGAAGCTTTGCTGTGCGTTACGCATTAAAAGTGTGCCGGCGTGACAGGCCTGCTTTGAAGAAGATTCAATATTTAAGCAGTGCGTGTTGGGGCCTGTTGCCAAGTGCTTAAGATGCGCCACATCAGAGCTTGCGCATAGATCCACAGAGGGGGAGGAGGGATGTGTGGGCGTTGAGAGCCTGAACAGGTTTAGCAGGTACACGATGACGACGCAGGTCTGTAAATAAGCCTAATGCAATGCCTCTTTTGTGCTTCGACCTACAGAGAGAGAGAGAGAGAGAGAGAGAGAGAGAGAGAGAGATTTTTCTCCCTCTACCGGTCAGTTCCCAGAGCTGCAAGCAGCTGCTGAAGGACACAGCAATTCAAAAAACCGGCCAGTAGGAGAGCCTTTTGCTGGACATGATCTAGCCCAGTGCAGTGGTACCTTGGTTCTCAAATAATAATAATTTATTATTTATACCCCGCCCATCTGGCTGAGTTTCCACAGCCGCGCTGGGCGGCTTCCAATCGAGTGTTAAAAACAATACAGCATTAAATATTAAAAGCTTCCCTAAACAGGGCTGCCTTCAGATGTCTTTTAAAGATAAGATAGCTAATTATTTCCTTCACATCTGGTGGGAGGGCGTTCCACAGGGAGGGAGCCACCACCGAGAAGGCCATCTGCCTGGTTCCCTGTATCTTTGCTTCTCACAGGGAGGGAACCACCAGAAAGCCCTCAGAGCTGGACTTCAGTGTCCGGGCTGAATGATGTGGGTGGAGACGCTCCTTCAGCTCTATTGGGCCTTTGAGGCCGTTTAGGGCTTTCAAGGTCAGCACCAACACTTTGAATTGTGCTCGGAAACGTACTGGGAGCCAATGCAGATCTCTCAGGACTGGTGTTATGTGGTCTCGGCGGCCACTCCCAGTCACCAGTCCGGCTGCTGCATTCTGGATTAGTTGTAGTTTCCGGGTCACCTTCAAAGGTAGCCCCACGTAGAGCGCATGGCAGTAGTCCAAGCGGGAGATAACTAAAGCATGCACCACTCTGGCGAGGCAGTCCGCGGGCAGGTAGGGTCTCAGCCAACTTAATCCGTTCCAGAAGTCAGTTCCAAAACCAAAGCATTCCAAAACCAAGGCGCGCTTTCCCATAGAAAGTAAGGCAAAAGGGATCGATCCGTTCCAGACTTTTAAAAAACAACCCCTTAAAAAACAGGAATTGAATTTTACTCTCCAATGAGACTATTGATCCATAACACGAAAGCAATAAACAATGTCCTGCAGTCACACAATCCATCCATCAGTAGCTGAACTGAGTTCCACACAGCCGCAAAAACAAAAATGCAAAATAAATAGCAAAAACAGGCAGACCTCGGCGTAACGCTCAGAACGGAAGTGTGGCACTCAAATCGGAAGCGTAACACTCAAAACGGAGCACGTTCGGCTTCCGAAAAATGTTCGCAAACCGGAACACTTACTTCCGGGTTTGCAATGTTTGGGTTCCAAGTTGTTTGGGTACCAAGGTGTTTGAGAACCAAGGTAACCCCTGTATACTGCTCCCGAGAGGGGACAGCCGCATTCCTCTGGGAGAGCCTGTGAAGACGGCTTAAAAGGAAACACATGAGCTCTTGGAAGAGATGTGGGATTACAAATAAGCAGAGCCTTCGCGATGAGGTTTCAGCTTTTCAGTTGAAGACGTTTTTAAAACGCGCAGTTTGCAAAATGGGGAGGGTGAAATGGGTTTATTGAGGAACACGTGCATTTCTGGGAAGGCAGAGAAGGGGAAGCAGGGCTTCCCACTGGGCCAGGATGTCGGCCTAGCTGAGCCCCTTGGCCTGATCCTATACAGGGGTCTTCTCATCTCATTTCACCGCCAGTCCCCTTTCATCCATGAGGGTGGGGCTCTGCA